ACTTGAGTGTAAGGTCACTTTTATTTGGTTAGTTTTCACTAGTTGTACCATAAACTTGTATGAAGAAATAAAAACAGAAAACAAGAGGGACAGTTTCAGTTACTGAACTAGAATAGATGTTTGGTTCTAATTCTTGAAGGTTTTCTTGTATGAAACACTTCATGTGAAACCTTGGATTGTTTTGGCTAGGCATATGAAATGTAGTTGGGTTCTCTTTCCATAGTGAAGCTGTCTGCAGGGAAAGGGTGTTCTGAATGAGAATTCTGATCGAGAATCAGAGATGAGGTTAATAGCATCAATTGCAATTTTGGTTGATTAAATTGTTAATACATAACCCATTATTGCTAAATATACAAAATCTAAAGATTTGAGTAGCACAAAATAAAAATTTGGTTGATGCTATTTTACGAAAATTGCCGTGTGCACTTCCAATTGCCACTTTTCATTAAAAGACGACAAAATAGTTCGCTTTGTGCTTGTCACAAGGCTCTGATTATGTAATCAATGACAACCATTTTGGTTTGTAGTGTATTTAAAATTTCTTGGATAAAGTTAGTAGCATTTTTGAAAATTTTTATATTAAAAATTAAATGTTATTTTAAATAGAAAAACTCACAATACTACTCTTAATATTGTATTCAAACAGACACAGTCCCTTGTCTTGTCATAGGTCTTCCCATTTCTTATATTAGGAAAACTTCACTTCTACAATAAATTTCTAGCATACTAGATTAGGGATGGCAACGAGGCGGGTCGGGTACGGGTTTCATGATACTCGTTTCTGTTCTCGCGAGTTAAACTCATCTCCGTCCCCATCCCCATATCCGTCGGGTATAGATTTTCATCTCCATTCCCGTTCCTATTGGGTATCGAGTATACCCGTACCCGTACCCGTACCGTTAATTTTTTTATTTTTTATTTTTTGTAAAAAAATGATATTTTTAAAATTTTTTTTATTATATTAAATTATAATTAGGTTATTTCTTTATCTCATATTATAATAAATAATCACGCATAAAAAAATATTAATTTTTTTTAATATAATTAAATTGAAAGTGAGTATTAAATTAAAAATGAGAACGGGACGTGCCCGTACCTGTATCCGTACCCGTACCCGATTTAATATATCGAGTTTTACCCGTACTCGGTCAAACCGGGTATTTCCTGTCAAAGTCGGGACGGGTTCGGGTATTACCCGCAGGTACGGGTATATTTGCCATCCCTACACTAGATACAGGGGACAGGACTACTAGGTTCCTTCGTTAGTTCTTCACCTCATTGTTCTGCTTCTGATTTCTCTTCTGTTCTTGTTTGGTTATCTACCGGAACAGATAGAGACTATTTTTTCCTCTCTCTCTCTTTTTTTTTTCTCCAAAAAATATCCCTTCTAGTACATTATAATTTGTATGAAATGATAAAGTCATTTTAGTTTTTTGTTTTTTGTAACTCAGGTTGTTGATTTCTTTGTGATTGTGAAAGGCTTAAAAGACTCCTCGTGTGTATGTTGGGTTGATTCATGAGTTATACGGAGAGAAATTTTGAAGTTGAATTCCATGTTTTCAAAGTTATACAAAGGTAGTAGAAGCATTACTCGATGATTTTGTATATTTACTAATTTAAAGAAAGAATGAGAATCTTTGTCATCTCACCGTGTGTTAACAATCATTTCAAAACACCACAATGAACAATGTCCATTGGAAGATCAACGTTAAAACTTTAGTCATTATTTTATTGCAGTGTTTTTTTTTTTTTTTTTTTTTTCGTTCCTGGAGTATCTACCGCTATCCGATAGCGGTGACTAATCTATTCGCTACGTTAGAGGCACATCAAAGGATAGGATAGCTGACCCCAAGATTTAACGCGGCTGCATACATAAGGCAGGATTCGAACTCCTAACCTTACTTAAGCGTGGATCAATCCCTACTGCTGAACTACACGCTTATGGTGTGTTTGGATGAAGAATTTTACAAATTCAAGGAATTTTAAATTCTTGGTATTTGAATTACTTTGA